ATATTCAATAGCATATGTAATATGTAATCAGTTTGGATTGTATGTACAGTGTGTTCTACTTTGTGCAGCACCATCTTTGTATTTTAAAACACATTGGTTGATATTCAAAATTTGTTTGAACATGGAGTCCTTGATGAGATTTATATCACCACATGCACCTAATTTATATTTCTACCATAATTATGTTGTCCACTTTGTGCAAAAAGCTTGAAACAATTGAAAAATTGTAATAGACGTTGTTTTTCATTGAAATTTTGTTATATATCTCACTACACATTTTGGTGATTCTAATTCGTAAAGCTAGAATACCTTATCTCGAATAATCCTGTTTTTCTTAAAACGACAAGGCTTGTCAAAATTAAACATGGTCCAGAAAAGTTATAGAATCGAATTGTGTATAAATATCAGACCATACTTAATTTTCAAATAGGTCAAAAGTAAAAAAAATACGTATGGAAAGCCTTAATTATAACGGGCTCCCACCATTACACAGGATTCTATGAGTGGATACATTGATCTAAGTATCCGTACAAAAATTGTGTTTTTATAAAAAAGTTTTTAAGAGGCCCCATATACAAAAATGTCTAGGATTTAAATTGGGGGTTCATGGATGCCAAAACTTAGGTCTGCCATGGCCTATCCAGGGTTCTTACACTAAAATGAACAGGAACTCCATTACGTATAAATCAGATTTGAGTTATAACCCCTGTAGGTATGTGTGGTGTTCTTGCCGAGTATATTCAAACGAGGTTTTATTTTTAAGTGCCTTTATTTTAAGACGGATACATATATATTTACAGAGAACAAAAAAGGTATTCTAATAAAAACATACATAGAAATACATAGTGCGACAATATAAAAAGACCTACATTAAATTACTCAGGGANCTGAGAACAACTGTCAAATACGTATTGTTTATTTCACTAAACATCAACCAACTATTATAAGAAAATACACAACGTTTTTGCAAAGTAAAAAAGGGGCTAAAAAACATAAAACATTCCATATCTCCCCAACAGTTACTTTGCGGACCCATGTTTATTGAGACTTTTCTGCTTATTTTGGTTCATACTATTACCTCCTTAAATATTTTACACTCTTTTTTAACACCCTGTAGAGTTCTATTACAAAGATATGAACGGAAAAAACGTAAGTAGTTCATCACTAGAACCGAATATATTAAGTTTTTGTAACAAAATCGAATAATGTATCTGTCGAAAACCTTAGAGAAATCATCCACCTAGTTTTTCAAGAATATCTGACACAAACTATGTAAAACATACAAGATTAGAAGGAGAAGATCTGTTGGACATGTTGATTTATTGAAAGCATGTTTTCTACAGTAAATTTGATGCGTTTATACAATGAAATCTCGAAAACTTTAGCAAAGTTTGCTACACCGGTAGTCTTCCGACTTCAAAATTGGGCATACGCTAGCTCTCTTCCAAAATGGAAATATTGATATTCTCAAAATAGTGAATAGTGAATAGGACAAAACGTAAGCAAAGTGTTTTGCTAAATAACTCGGTACAAGATCAGGGCCTAAGGTCTGATTGTTTTTTAACTGTTTAATTGCCAATGTTATTTCATCCTGAAACAAACACAATGTTTAAACAAGAGGTATTATTGTCACTATTTATGTTGATAACAATGTCTTGGCTAAGAAAGACACTTTCAAAATGCTGACTAAAACTTTCTATATTTGACTGAGAGTCATTGTATGTATTTTCATCTAAATGCATTATACCCGGTATTCGATCACTGCCTTCTTTACTTTGTATGAAAGATCAACAATTTTTACTGTCAGACAAAATTGAGTTTTCTGCATTAAGAATAAAAGCTGTATTAATCAATACCTTGTGTTATCTCAGACGTTTGAAATGTTGCAAGTTAATGTCAGAACCGTATTTTTTATACAACTTGAAATCATTTTGTTTCTGTTTTATATTTCTAATTCAGTATACCACTTCGGGTAAGTAAATTTTGTAATTTTGTTGGAATAATTTAATTAAGCAATTACCTTTATTAGTTAATTAATTTGGTTAATCAAAATTATTTTATATGATTTTTATGATTTTCTTATTTGAAATCAAGGAGAGATTATACTACATTGTTTATTATTTTGAACATTATATTACATCAGGTTGATAATGTGACTACAAAGTTGGAAAACTTTGTGGGCAATCATGTAATCCTGTATTATTATTGGATAAGGCGATATCTTATTCCAAATTACTTACTGGCGCCGTATTGGAGACAAAACAAACCCCAAGGACTGTCGCGCTGGCGCCTATAATATTGGGTCGATTTTTCTTCAGACACAACAATTTCCAATAAAGCGGCGGCGGTTACATTAAATGCGTCTTCGAAAATATGTTCGCATCAAATTGTGGGAATTATTAACAAATTCATATGAGAGAAGCTTTCTGGCAGGGAAAGGTCCGTATTTCTAGTATGTATATTTAGGTACCTACCGAAATTTACAGAATAATAGTAAGCGTGAAAATAAAATTGTTTTACTTGTTACTATGATTTAAATTTTACTCAAATAATGTTGCAACTTTCAAAATGCATTGTAAGACTCCTAACATAACTTAATATTTGAATCATTATTTTCTCACATGTACAAATAAACGTAATCAATTTTAGTAACGTATTCACTAAGCAAGTTTATATTAAAGAAATATTTAGAACTTCAAATAAATTTTAAAACAATTGTTATTTTCAGGAATTTGTACCTACAAATATTTTTGCATTTTGAAATACATATGCATACAATCTAGAATTTTTAAGAAATATTGAGGATGTTAGTTCTTAAAATTTAACCGCAAAGACATTGAAGACTACCACCAAATTCCTATTCTTTCGGTGTATGTATTTTTTTTTCTTAATTATGCGGCAAATTTACGTTACAATTTTAACCTAATACTCGGAACTATTTTAAATTTAGGTATATTTTACCTTGAATTAACTTTTTTATTTTTCATTTTTGACCTAAAAGTAAAAATTTTTCAAGAAATACCCTACACAAAATACGTTTTAGCTCGGTTTCCAGGCAAAAATTACGTTTTCATTGGGTACACTACTTCAAAAGTATATGGCTAGTTTAAGTATAGATTATCTCCATAGCTAGAAAATTAGGTATATTTAATTGAGTAATTATTAGTGAAGCAATGAATTACTGATTACTGGAAAAAAAATAATTTGCAAATGATGTATATACTTTCTTTGACCGATTAAAGTACATACTTCGCCTAATTATTCAACTGTGAAGATAAAGAAACATATAATGAGAGTGCATAGACAGATAGTGCATAGGCAGTCGATATTTTGTTCGGAGAATGCAAATAAACACCAAACTGATCACACATATCTGAACATGCGCAATCACGATTATATGTATATCTCCATTCTATAGCGGGTTTAAACTTATACATATAAAAAAATAGTTTATCGACAACTTAAAGGTGGAATAAACAGTATAAACGTAAATAGGGAAATATATTCAATTTAAATCTACAAGTTCTGAGACTAGGGAGATATTTTAACCTAAATCTTACATAACCTAAAAGTTAACAGTTTAGGTTTTAACGAGTTTTACTAAGGGAGAAATTTCAATGAAGGATAAAATACTAGAAAAGAATATTATAAAATGGCGTGATACTAATTGTCCGCCATATTTTTCCATTAGCTACACTGTAAAAAATCGGTGTGAGTGAAAACAATAAAGGTACAGAGTGAATCTACTAAGTGAAATGATTGAGTACATTTTCACCCAATATTGAGTATTTTGATAATTTTACTCATTTGTGATAATATTTGAGCTAACACTGAGTAGGTACTTTCAGTCAAATATAGGTAATCGTTAAATAAATTCTACAGAGAAGCTCGCATTTAATAAATTTGTATCTAAATCGGAGTAAATGTCCTCAATATTGAGTGACCCCACCCCATTCTATGGTTGTCGTGCGTTGTCTATTCCCATCGCCCCCATTTGGTCATCTAGTAGCGTGGTGTATGGCGTGCTTGAATTATATACGACATACTGATAAGGACCAATAACTCCGAAACCGGTCTATATCTGGTGGGTTAAACTGACGAACGATCCTAGCTGTTGTGCTAGGTGTTGCGAGTATAATTCAATGCCGGTCGGGGCATATAGCCCACGGAGTAGTTGTTTTTCGCAACACTAGCAATTTAAAACATTTTGTTTTCGCCCAGTTGGCGACGGTCGTGCAAATAAGTATTTGGGAAATTTTAGCAGGTCGCTTCCTACTAGTAATGGCCATGTGAATGGCGTAGTTGAAAAGTAGCGCGATAGATGGAGCCATTTACGCTCTGTGTATAAGGTACCATACTGTTTAAAAGACCTGTTTTTTTCCAATATTTTAAAAACTCTTTCATTGTAGAATTTTCCAGTACGTCTGCAAGACCTAGTAAAAGTAATAATTTTTATACTCCAAATTTTTTTTTATCAATAATCAAAATTTTTGTATACTTGCCAAATTTTATAAAAAAAATCATCATTAAAAATTATGTTAAACGATATTTATTTTGCTTAAACTTGAAAAGCAATAATAAAGTATGTATTATTAAGTATATGACGGAGACAATATGTCCTGCTATTTTAAACAGACTTCTTAGAAATTAAAAAATGATTTATTATTATTTAATGACTAAATTAAATTAAATTTTTACATAAATTGTAGATAACTTTACAAATTGAATATATTATAAAATTATTCATTAAAATAATCTGCAATTTTGAAACGGCAGGATATATTTTCACTTTCTAACAAGCAAGGGATGTACCTATTCAGAAACTCATTACTCAGATTATATCTGATAACAAAAGTTATACTTATCATAAGTGACAAAAAATCTCAGATCTAATTAGCAAATGATGTATGGTTTGCCAAACATGATAAAAGTCCATCGGTAAAAATGTATCTCCCACAAATAAATGTTCATTGTGTAGTGAAATGCGATTTTTGTTTCAGATAATCTTCAATAATGGCGGCCTTTGTTGCGAAACAAATGGTTGGAAACAAATTAAACGCCGTTAAAGGTAAATAATAGGATATAGAGATTCGTATGCTTTTTTATTCTTTTGTTATAATATAACGCATTGTTCGATAGCTTTATATCCCGTACCGCCTATGTTCCTTTGTGGCAACCTTATGTGTGGTGATGCTAAATTTTGTTTCAGTAGGAATATCGGAAATTGGGTTACGTACTTCGATATTTTATGTACACAGGCGGGTCACAACTTTTCCGTCTCAGGTCCCTAATGTAGATGAGTATTCGGGTTACTTTACTTGTTTCACACTTTAAAACGTAATATGTCTTCTACCTGAAGCAATTCAATTTTTAGTTTTTATTTTACAACATTGAGTTTGTTCTAGGTAGTTGTGACATATTTGTCCTTGTTTTATGCTTACTGAAGTATAAGCGTTAGCCATAGCTCTCTATGGAATCATTTGTTTAAAGTTTCCATGAGAGACAAGAGAAAGACAAACTTAAATAAATACATAATAAAAGTATTAAATAAGACTACAAATCAATAACTTCAGTAATTAATAATTTTTTACTGTTTTGATAACATAACAACTGCCTTGAAACATTTATTCGAAAACATTGGAGAAAAAGGGAAACGGCTTACTGGATGTTTTTTTCTGTGAGGCCACAGTGAAAAAGGGTGGTTACTATGTGAAACCACTGAGATTTCGGAACATGTTTTTATTGAAAAGTTAATCAAAGTCCAGTTTTTTGTAATAATCGTAAAAGCAGTTCTTTTTGATACTTAAACACAGCCCAGTGCCACATGAGCTGCACTTTCATTTTGTTATGTGAGGACCATCATAGTTGGTACACTATTCTTGTGCCTCTTCTCCTGTGGCACATATATTTACAAAAAGTGTCTAGTCGTCTGCCGTCTTGTCTTCTTATAACACTTATTTGTTGCTCCAATAATTGTGGAAGTTACTTGTAAAAAGTACAGGGTTTTTGTCCATCCACTGGACTAATAAATAACACAAGGATATACACAGGGATATAGTCAAAATTTATGACTTCCCGATGAGTTTCGGAGAAAAGTGAAGTTTTTAGGTGAAAATTGGTCCAAATATGGGTCAAAACTGATTTTTCCCTAAATTTTGTCCAAATATATCATTGTCGTATTATTTTGAGGCGTTGAATACGATACCATTAGTTAAATTTACCCAGAACCTCGATATTTCTCAGAAAATCCACTATTTGGAATTTTCTATTTATTTAATACCGCTCTAGGTACAATGACGAGTCAAGTCGGGCTAACTCAAATTTTTATCTGAAGATAAAATTTTTTCAATTACTTTTTTAATTTTCAGGACTGTAAAAAAAAGCACTAATTTTGGATTTTCTGGAGAAATATAGAGGTCAGAGGTAAATTTCACTAATGGTATCGTATTCAGCTCCTCAAAATACTATGAAAATGATGTATTTGGACAAAATTTAAGAAAATAAAATCACTTTTTCAACCAAAAATTTCACTTTTTTCCGAAATTTATCGGGAAATCACGATTTTTACTACAGGACTGTTTTCAGTGCATCGAATTTCTTCGGAAAAGATGTGCGTTTTTCTTTTGGATTTGGACTTCTTCTGTATGCGCCTGTGCGATGTGGCATCTTGAGTTATCATCCAATCAGGATGCCCACGTAGTTGTTTTTGACAGTTTTATCTGCAAATTGTTTTCTTCCTCTTCTTGTTATTCCACGTGCATGTTATACCCCAAGAACTGTCTCTGCAAGTTGATAGAATTTAAAAAAAATTAAAATACTCGTATATAGAGTGAAATTTCTCTTCTAAATTCTTAGGTCATTTGCTACACGACTTCTCAAGTTTTTTTCAGACTTTTGATACTTTGCCTGTACCTATATACTTGAATTTCACATACAATTTCATTCTCATCAGCTCGTAATCACGCTTTGGAGGGAAGTGTGTAAATTGGGGTATTTTTTAGATAAAAATATTAAAATTTTTGTTCGCAGTAAATTACTTATAAATTAATGAAAATTAGATTTAGTTAAATTTATAGCATTAACTAAATTTGTGCTAGCAGTTGCGGTTATACAAATAATCCATTTTAATTTTTTGTTAGTACTAGAATCAAATTCACCTTTTTTGACTGCAGACTATTATCAATGAAATGTAAATTAGATAATATCCACTGAAGACTTCCACAAGTGCTTCAGCTGATTCAAGTATTTAGGCCCACTAAGACTCCTTTTCGGGTTTCCAATGGTTTGTCGTAGTTCACTCAAAAGTTTCTCTTGGTATATTTTTCCTTATGTTTTGTAAAGGTACGTCGTCTTCGGCGCTTCAGTCAAAATTAGAAGCTACATCATCGATGAGCGCCCCTGATTATCAAATCAAAAAGTAGATCAGGGACATCATCTTCATCCAAAGAATCCAGTGTGCCATTTGATGCTACAGATTCGTTATGAGAGGGAATTTTATCCCAGAAGCTATAAGTTTTCAGATGATAGACCCTTTAACACCTATTGAGTCTACGCAGATTTTTTCTATGGACCTGTAATAAAAATTATTTATGCCCATTGGTTTCAGGAAGTAACCACATATTTTCGTTTGAAGCATTTTAGAAAAGACAACTTTCTGTTTATTTATTCCTTGGGGAATTGCCAGTAACTATCATATAACAATACAAACTTAAATTTAACACCCATAACACAGCCCCACAAAAAAAAGTATCGGATCTGGTATTCAGACCCATATATTTCCATGTTCTTTTTTCCGCTGAATCCGAATCTGCCTTCAGATTTGGCCCAACAGGTGTGACTTTTCGGGAAAATTCAAAAAACAGGACAAAATTCACAACAAACGTAATTTACGATCGACGAAAGTTATAAAAAATCAAATTATTCTACCAGCTCACTAGACGTATGATTTTTCACTCTTTTGATTCCAATTTATCATCATAGAGTCAGAAAAGCTGGTCCAATTTCATTCAAAAACAGAAAATAGATTAAAAACGCCATTTTCATGGCATAATTCGTGTTGCAGAGTTTTCTTTCTTTTTATCCACCCACCCATTTATGAATTCATACATCTTTCTATCATCCACCTGTACCACCTATAAAACCCACCCAGCCACCCATCTATCCATCTACTTTTTGTACTGAGAGACTGAGGGATGAGATAACAGCCTAGAAGATTGAGAATACAATAAAACTTGTAGAATACTCTACTTTCTAAACAAAAGAAAACGATATCTACAAATCATTCTTATTTTTGTTGCTATAACGTGTTATCTTTTCTTCAAAGGATCTATGCAAAGGCTTAAACGCTTTCGCTTGGTCCTTCTATTTTTCGTTTCTCTTTTTAACAACTTACAAAAATTGGCCATCATGTTTTCATCCCATCTTCCTTGATATCGCTGTTCCATAACCTTCAAATCCTGATGAAATCATTCGCCTTGTTCTTCGCCAAGATTCAAGATTTTCAGGAAACCAAGATTCCAGATGTAAATGAAAGAAGTGCAACTTGTAGTACATCAAACATCCCAGATCTTGGAAGTCTTTCGTCATTTTTGATACAATTTCTTCGTATTTAGGACTCTTCTTGTTTCCTAAAAAATTTGTCGCTACAGCTTTGAAATTAGTCCAAGCACTCTTCTCGATGCCACTAGTTGTAGTGATGAATGTTGCATCCTTGAACAATGTCCTAATCTGAGGTCTATCGAATACACCTTCTTTCAATTTCGCCTCAGAAGTATTCGGAAATCGGCGATATCAAGGAAGATGGGACGAAAACATGATGGCCGATTTTTGTTTGTTGTTAAAAAGAGAAACGAAAAATAGAGGGACTAAACGAAAGCGTAACTCTTTGCATAGATCCTTTGAAGAAAAAATAACACGTTATAGCAACAAAAATAAGAATGATTTGTAGATATCGTTTCCTTTTGTTTAGAAAGTAGAGTATTCTACAAGTTTTATTGCATTCTCAATCTTCTAGGCTGTTATCTCATATCTCAGCACAAAAAGTATATGGATGGGTGGGTTTTATNAGAACACGTTATAGCAACAAAAATAAGAATGATTTGTAGATATCGTTTCCTTTTGTTTAGAAAGTAGAGTATTCTACAAGTTTTATTGCATTCTCAATCTTCTAGGCCGTTATCTCATCTCTCAGTCTGTCAGTACAAAAATAGATGGATAGATGGGTGGATGGGTGGGTTTCATAGGTGGTACAGGTGGATGATAGATGATAGAATTCTTAAATGGGTGGGTGGAAAAAAAATGGATCCAGAACTCTGCAACACGAATTATGCCATGACAATGGCGTTTTTAATCTATTTTCTGTTTTTGAATGAAATTGGACCAGCTTGTCTGAATCTATGATAATAAATTGAAATTAAACGAGTGAAAAATCATACGTTTAGTGAGCTGGTAGAATAATTTGATTTTTTATAACTTTCGTCGATTGTAAATTATGTTTGTTGTGAATTTTGACCGGTTTTTTGAATTTTCCCGAAAACTCAGACCCCTTGGGCCAAATCTGAAGACAGATTCGGATTCAGCGGAAAAAAGTACATGGAAATATATGGGTCTGAATACCAGATCCGATACTTTTTTTTTGTGGGGCTGTGTAATTAATGATATTTATAAGAAACTAGTGGCAAATACTCAGTAACCAAAAAACAGCTCAGTGTACACTTACCAAACCACGTGGTTTGCAAAAACATATATAGGGGTATACAGAGCCTCATAAATGTTTACAAGCTACGTCACAACATTGCACGACTAATACTGGTGAACGAAAAATCCCTAAATCTTGGCATCCCAATATCCCCCAATATAATGATTCGTTTACAATGAACAGTAACAAACCGTTACGTTTACATTCGAGATATCCGATCGCTGATAGGTTGAATAGAATCTTGTGAGAAATTACACCAATCACAGCCGATGAAACAGAATGTTGTGTTTTAACGTAATTTTGTTCTTATTGTTTTAATAATTTTTAATTTTCCTGAAAAAGTAATTGCCAACCTGAAGGAAATAAAAATT